TGGAGTCCTCGTAAATACTGACGAAAGAGTCCGTATAAATACTGACGCTGGAGTCCCCGTAAATACTGACGCTGGAATCCCCGTAAATACTGACGCTGGAGTCTGTAAATGCTGATGCCAAAGTCCCTGTAAATACTGATGCTGGAGTCTCTGTAAATACTGACACTAGAGTCCCTGTAAATACTGACGCTGAATATCTGTAAACACTGACGGTGGAGTTCCTGTAAATACTGACGCGGATAACCTGTTAAAATTCCCCTACTTCGTTCATTTGTTCACAAGGTTCAGCCGAATGGGGGAGCGGCCAACAGCCCCGCAGAAACCCACACCGCATCAGAGCCCAAATCCACACCGCATCAGAGCCCGAACCCACAGGGCACCAGGACCCAAACTCACACCGCACTGGGGGAACAGCCCCAGCTTCGTCTAATTAAATCTAAGTAACTCTGGATGGAAGCGTCACCTACATAACTGCAATGTGTCACTGTGTACAGATTTTAATGTCTGAAATTACTCAAATTACTATTCAAAGTGTCATAGGGATAGTTGCAGTGACAGAGCAATCACAACACAGAGCGTGCAACTGCAGCGTCACTGAACACACCGCGAGACAGCTGAACCACATACAGCTCTGACTCTCATTACTGGGCTCTGACCGGGGCAGATGGGGTTGAGGTGATGTTTAGCAGTGGTGCCGGGGGTTATAAATAGGCTCCAGAGGCCCGGTAACGATCAGAGCAGAAGAGCAGAGGGAGAGGGGCGAATGGGGGGACTATAAGGGTGTAGTTTTACCCCTGGGCTGTTTGGGGTTGGTTACAGGCTTATTTGTGTGATCCAGGTAATGGGGTGTGGTTAAAGCAGGAAGGGCAGTGTCTGATTGGGGATGGTGAAGGCTGGAGGGTGTGGTTATCATGAAAGCACACCTCACTGGGGTCAGAGCGCCACTCTCTGCAGGGTTATTTATGAATGATCTTGGGTTCCAAGACTGTGGCCTGTATATAAGCTTTTAATTATCCACACACCTAACCCACAGCCTTTAGTTCAAACTCTAACAGCAATATTTCTCACAAAGCTGGGAACGAGGACAACCAGGAGCAATGGTGAAACTGCATTCTCCTCAGAGCTCAAACTGTATTCTCCCAAGAGCTCAAACTGCACCGCAGCCGTCTGGCCATTTCTCAGGATGTCCTCCACTTAAGCCTGAACGCCTGTTCAAAATAACTACCTGCACAGGCCTTCCTGACTCCCCTTATGATCACACAGCCGTGGGTCCTGCTGGAGATGGAGACGCATAATTCACAGGAACGTTTTTCAGGGCACGTAAAAGTGTCTTCGGCGATTCATGTTCCCCCATTGTATTTCTGTCCCCCCTTTGATGTTGAAATCTCAGGTTTTCAGGTTAACAGCAGGACAAACATGTATTAATACATCAACATTAAAGGTTATCATCCCTGAAACACGTCCTTGATGCAAGTTTTACTACATGCTGCTACTGTGATTAATTCAGCCCCCAGAAAGAGTTAGCTAGAGCGGTAGCTAGCATCTATCTAAGTAGCTACTAGATAAGTACATTCAATTTCTCGAAAATATGAGCTGTGTAACATTTCCAGCCCTTAAAATTAAAGTAGAGTTTATTCCTTAGAGTCCAGCTCCCCTGCAACGCCAGTGAGGAAGAGGCTGAGCAGATAATGGACTCATACTGATACTGCATTTATTTATTTATTATATTATTATTGGACTTATTATTATTCATTCATTTTCTATACCCGCTTAATCCTCACTAGGGTCGCGGGGCGAGCTGGAGCCTATCCCAGCTGACTACGGGCAAAGGCAGGGACCCACCCTGGACAGCTTGCCAATCCATCGCAGGGCGCACACACCATTCACAGACCATTCACTCTCACACTCATACCTATGGGCAATTTAGCATCTCCAATTAACCTAACATGCATGTCTTTGGACTGTGGGAGGAAACCGGAGTACCCGGAGAAAACCCACGCGACCACGGGGAGAACATGCAAACTCCCCACAGAAAGGCCTCAGGCCAGAATCAAACCCACGACCTTCTTGCTGTGAGGCAGCAATGCTAACCACTGCGCCACCGTGCCGCCCACATTATTATTATTATTATTATTATTATTATTATTATTATTATTATTATTATTATTATTATTATTATTATTATTATTATTATTATTATTATTGCTGCCAACTTTACAGCAAGAATAAACATTTTTTTTTTTTTTAGCAAGAGTTAGGACTTCTGTAGCCTAAGAAGCATAAATATGCAGAATGTAGTTTTAATGCATTTTTATTGAAAGAAAGCAACAACATCTTGAACTTTTTTGGCAACATAGTGATACTCTTTTTATGGACGGTAATAAATTCAACTAAAAAATACTAATCATTAAAAAGTGTGAAGAACATAAATCAATCAACTCTACTAAGCAGATGTAGGACGATATGCAAGTCTCTGTGTGTGCGTGCGTGCATGCGTGGGCGTGCAGTTTTTGTGGTGTATAAATGATTTCATAACTACCGGTTCAAAAATAACTCAGACAGTCTTTGCATCCTGGAGGTGTGCTGCTCTCATAAAAATATAAACAAAGACTTCTAATGTTAGGGTCACATTAAGAAAAGTGATCAAATTCCAAGTTGAAATGCAGATCATTGAGGGTTTTCACTGCAGTTAAACATGTTGGTGGGTCACTTTTGATCCTTATAGCAATGCAAGGGTTAAGAGCAAAGCCAAATTAGCAGATAAATGAAGAGCTGGACAAACAGCACCGCACTAAAGGTGTGAACATCATTACTACTGAGGAAGGAGGGCAATGCTTCAAAAATGAAAGCGTGCATTCAGCACCAAGGACAGCTCACGCCTGCCTTCAGCACTGAGTGAGAACAATCTCAAGCTTAGAAACCCTGCGCCTAACTGTGCCGAACTGCGCCAGAACCTGTGCATCACTACATCCTACAGCACTCATATATCACCAACACTGGCACAATGCAGGACCTTCATAAGTAAACAGGATCAGTCAGCACAAAGAAAAAGTTCGTCGGGTGACTCCATAGAAATGGCAGCTTGTTAACACCACCCAGACTACATCACCATAAACGTCACAGCTCTGTAGCCAAAGAAAGATGCAAATCAAACAATTCTTTCATCCGAAATCCAAGCAGGACATGAACATTGCATTTTCCAGCACAAAGCCTTTTATCGCGGATGAAGCACAATGAAATTATGTCCAGTCCATTTTAAGAAAAAAAAAAAAAAAAAAACTAAAAGCACACTGCACTCTCACCAGCACTTCCGGCTCCGCACATGCAGAAGCCTCATATTCAAACCATCCCCTGTGTTCATTATGCAGGAAGGAAATCTCTAGGCTAACCAGCATCTGACTTTAAATTCTCCCTGACGAGGGGCCTCCACAAGGGCGCAGAGACCTGGGAAGGGCAAGAGCTGCCACGGTGCCCATAAAAAGAGTTTAATTTCATCCATTATTCATTCTGACTTATTAAAACCTGCATACTGGTAGACAAGGGAATATTGTAAAACTGTCACATAAGCTCTTTACTGAGGCCTCCTTCTTTCCAAAATGAATATTGAAATGAGCTCTAAAATGGCCGTCACTACAGTCCTGTGCAACAAACACAAACCAGGTGTATAACTCTGTATGAGCAGGAAGCTGAGGCAGCTCTGTGCGGCGAGTCAGGGCAGCAGTTTCAGTTATATTAACCCTTTCAGCGCCGTGGGCAACTATAGTTGCCCAATGATATAAGATATCAAAGTCAGATGCTGCTGAAAACCTATCATGTGGCAACTTGTGGCAAACCTATCAAGTTGCCACATGATAGCTTTTCAACAGCTCAGGATAAATACATTTTTAATTCCTTGAAAATGTATTCAGCGCTCAAAGGGTTAAGGCGACAGAGATGAACACTGGGTAAGTGTTTGAGGAAATAATCAGCAGATAAAGTGTGTCCTGCATGGGGACGCTAATGTGCTGCGGTGGATATTACCGTGAGGCCGCTGTCTTTACCCAGACCTGAGGGTAAATGGCACACAAATACACCTGAATTATGCCCTTCCTGTCTCATGATTCGCCCCGTCATTCAGCTCTTCTCCTGTTTTCATTTTACCGGCAGTGTTCTGTATGTGAACCTGACTTTAATGTCATTCTCTATCTGCTCATCAGACAGGAAGTGCCCTGGTGCCTCCGAGCGGCATCCCTTCCTGCCCATTTTATTACATTACATAACTGAAATAAATCCACCTCATTACATGTTTACGGCACCTTATGAAGACCGTCATGTGTGGAAGACATTCAGCACAAAAACATGGCAACCGTTTCTCCAAGATGATGCAAAAATGATGATGATGATGAGGATGCAGATGATGGCAACAATGACAATGGCAGTGGTGATGTCATCAGCTCCTGCAGTGCTCGTCTCAAACATCTTTCAAAGTGAATCATCTTACGCTCCTCCCCAGACTGAGATCTTCACAGATAAACATCTACACGAGGCCGCAGCACGGAAAAATTACACCAAAATAACAGAAAAACGAGCGCATGTTCATAAGATGGGAGCAAAACTTCCTGGTGGGTTTAACAATTTATGCCCAAGAAATTAAGGCCCAACAAAAATTTTGGCCAAAGAAAGCTGACGATTTGTCAGTGTAATCGGCTGCTTTCATTCAAGTCGCTAAACCTCAAAAACAGTTCAGATCCATTTATTCATTCTTTATATCGCTTCTTCCTCACTGGGGTCGCGGGGGAGCTGGAGTCTATCCCAGCTGATTATGGGCGAAAGGCAGGAACACACCCTGAACAGCTCGCCAATCCATCACAGGGCGCACACACCATTCACACACCATTCATTAACGCAATCATATAATTTAGAGTCTCCAATTAGCCTGACAATTAGCCTGCATGTCTTTGGACTGTGGAGGAAACCCACGCAGACATGCATGGGGAGAACATGCAAACTCCACACAGAAAGGCCCCAGGCAGGATTCGAACCCACTATCTCCTTAGTGTGAGGTAACAGGGCTACCCACTGCCCCACCGCGCCGCCCAACACACAGGATCTCAGTGAAAATTATTTGAGCAGAGCAAAAATAAAAACATAACAAATCACACATGCATGCACTCCCGAGTACTTGAACATACCCTGAATGAATTGTTCGTCCTTAAAGTTAGAATCACGCTGTACATAACTTCCCCGGAGCCTTTCTCTAATGCTCTTTATAGCTGCCTATAAAACTTTTGAATTGTTTTCTTCAGGAAGGTTTAACAGTTTCCTCTCAGACAACATATTTTTATTTCAAATGATCAGGTTTATTTCAAGCACCCCTTATCCTAACAGAGATCTAGTTCACCCAGAAAAACTGAAATATTCGGCCAGTTCCCAAACTAAACATTAAAGACACTAACTGCTGGAAGCACAAAATGCCGCTGTGTACTACAGTCTCAACATTTACCTCAGAAAAACTACAAGGGCCAGACCAAACCAAAACCTACAGCTCCAGACTAAACAGTGACCCTACTAGGGTGCCACTGACTGTAATGGCCAAAAACTTTTTTCAAAGTTTTCCAGGTCCCACCCCCTCTTTTTCTTCCTTTCATGAAACATAATAACTACTCCAAGTTTCATACAAATATATGCATATTTTCTGGTAGCTCAATGAGCTGGAATATTTTCATAGAGTAACTATTCAGTAGTTGTTGCGTGCTTGTATTAACAGTTTAACACTGTGTTATATATTGAAATAAAACCTTATTTAATTTAACTGTTTCATCATCAGGGTTTCGCTACATGTAATTGATCGTGGCGCATCGCCACGGCTAAATAAAAGCCGCCACGCCTGTTTAAAATGACTTTACATAAACTCCAAAAATCCTAAAGACAATCAGGCGTCACCAATTCTCCTTGTTAAGTTAAAATGAGCGCTGATAATTCTTGACCTGTTGTCAATCATTTTGCTTGATGAACACGTTTTGCAATGAATAAAAATTAGCCAACGGAAAGCAAGAAGTCTGAAAGTCGTCAGTGATGCAGCTGAGCGAGGGATGGTCTTGATTAAAGGTCCTGACCAATCAAGAAGAACAGAAACAGTTCCTGTTGCAGGTTGTAGAGAAACGCCGCCGTGACTTTCCAAACAGTAACAAATCCACCTTGACTGCACTCACTGCAGCTGCTGTTGACGACTAATTTGCGGACAACTAATTTGCATTGTGACATTTTTGGTCACTGTTTGTGTTAATCTGTTTATGTAAAAAAATCATTTGTTGACTTTTGAAGTAACTGAAAGTCTTTGATTTTGATGATCTCTGCAATATTCAAATTTTTATGTTAAATTTAACATTATACGATTATATCAGAATTTTTCTGAATATTACGCATTATTGTATAACTTTGGAATGGTTGAGCTACCAGTAAATATTATTATAATACATCCAAACTTTGTCATTTTTTTTTCTTTTCACATTATGAACACATCTAGGGGGTGGGACAATGAAAATGAGAAACTTCATTTTTGAGTGGCACCCTAATCCCTTCACCTGTGGCCATGCAGAGTACCTTTGTCGTCAATCTGCAATCCATTGCTGCAAATATTTTCTATTTCACGTGTGTGCAGTTTCTCACACAACAAAAAGCAAAAATAAACATGAAAAACACTCCGTGCTGATAGTTCTATGACTGCAGTCAGGAAGAGGGCAGAGTCCCCTAATAAAAATCCCACACACTCTACAGCACACAGCAAGAAAAACTAATGCACACTCATATGCAGATAGTAAAATTTACTATCACCCCAGTAAGTAATTTAAACCTTGAAAATGTCTCTGACTCTCTCCCAACAAGAAGTGAAACAGCCAGCCCGATGAAAATGTGTCAGACAGTGAGGTAAAACTTCGACAAAATCATCCTGACAATATGACACATGACCACAGCATAGAATAAAAAATAATGAGCAGCTGACTCAATTGATTCCACTTTTCCATGTTCATTTTCCTTCTGAACTGATATTTGATGAGGGATACTTTATTCATAAATATTAGATCCGTAAACTAAAGACTCTGAGCAAAGACCAATCAGAATGACTGATACTCAGGGCTCCTCTCTGAATACATGTTCTGCGAGATGTTGCATGTATCCCTGAGCTCTTCTGCACAGAAGCTCAAATAACCACAATTCAACACTTCAAGTGTTTGGATTTTCCTTGCAGTTTGATTGCAAAGCAGCTAAACACAGAACTGCTCACTCACAGCAGATCTCCTGCAGCGCTTCCGCCAAACTCACAGCAGATCTCCTGCAGCGCTTCAGCCAAACTCACAGCAGATCTCCTGCAGCGCTTCAGCCAAACTCACAGCAGATCTCCTGCAGCCCTTCCGCCAAACTCACAGCAGATCTCCTGCAGCGCTTCAGCCAAACTCACAGCAGATCTCCTGCAGCGCTTCCGCCAAACTCACAGCAGATCTCCTGCAGCGCTTCAGCCAAACTCACAGCAGATCTCCTGCAGCGCTTCCGCCAAACTCACAGAAGATCTCCTGCAGCGCTTCAGCCAATCTCACAGCAGATCTCCTGCAGCGCTTCCACCAAACTCACAGCAGATCTCCTGCAGCACTTCCGCCAAACTCACAGCAGATCTCTTGCAGCGCTTCCACCAAACTCACAGCAGTGAGCTCACTCCTGCGCCAGGATGAGACACTGAACACTTGTAAAGCCATCGACCGCAGGCAGAACAGATGGATGTTTGTGCTGCTGCTCTGCAGCCTCTGCGACAGCAGATACAGGAGCTCTAACCCAGAGCCTCCCTGTTGACTCCTTGTCTCCTTACAATAGGGAGGTTGCGGGTTCGAGTCCTCTCAGTAAGGAGCTGTGGGAGTCCTCTGTGTCCTCCGGTCTCCTTCTAACCAGAGACATGGCCATTAAACTCCTGTCGTCATCCCTGACTGCGGCTCTGGACCAGCACACTGTACTGAGCCTGTTCAACTGCTCCTCAGTAACCAGGATGGGTCAAGAGGGCATTTTTTACTGCTGTGTTCAACAGAAGCATCAATCTTAGATCAATCCAGGTTCTGATGAAATTTAAAAAATCAGCCAAAAAAATGATGCACTAGAAACTGCAGGGGGTGAAATAACTCTGCTCAGGTAAATATGAGAACTAACAGGCCTGACTAACTCATCAGAAAAGCTGTACGGCCTGAACAGACTAAAGCAGCCGAGCCTGCACTGCAGAGCAGGAGACCTGCAGAATGATCCTAATCCCCCCCACCACCCATTACCCCAACTGCCCCCCCAGCACACAAATCCCATCATCCACCATAATCCCACTCCTATTGGGGCCAGCAGAAAAGAACAGTGCCAACAGGGCTGGATTAAGGCAGCCATCAGGAGCCATGCGAAAAAGACTCGTTACCAAATCATTTTTAAAGATTAAAGATATGATACAGCTTTCTAATCTCCAGCCACTCCAGTTAGTCTGTTCTGGTTCCATGGAAAATTTTTTTTTTTTTTTTTTTTTTTTTTTTTTTTATCCCAGTAACTATCAATCATCAGCCAGTATTACAGCTTTATTATTGCAGTCACTGAATAAACTCTGCTGACCAAACATGGCGCTCGATGGTGGTCTTCCATTAGTTTGTGTAAATGCTGACTCAACATTTACACGTTCTTGGTCCAGACTCCAGGGGCTTCTGGAGAGAGCTAACTAAACCACATCATCTGAAGATCTGTTCTACAGCATCAGTGCATACAGCGGAGCCAAGAGCGACTGGAATCCTTGATAAAAGAATCCTTGATGAGACTGAGGAGAGAAGATTAACAGTAGGGAAGTCACACACCATATTCAGTTCAAACATCTTGGTAAACTCCAAACCATGTGTTTATTTCAACACGTCTTTCAGTTTTCTTAGGTGATCACTTTTTTCTGAAAACCATTGGTGTCAAGATCACTAAAACAGTAGCAATCATTGCAAATAATCCTGAAGAGAGTTAAACTGGTATGTGTTTCCTTATTGAAGTTCTTTTCTGTCTTAAGGAACTACAGTGTGTCGTTGCATCACATCCTGTTTCACAAGCGGTTTAAAATGAAGGCAAATGTGTGCAAAATCCCTTTGTCATCAGTCACCATGAAAACAAAACCACCAAATTAAAGAAGAGACAGATGGCACATGAGGCAAACGACACACAGGTAAATACTGATAAATAAACCACTGAGCTCTGTATGCACAACAATCACATAATCTGACCCGTCCAGAGAGGTAACACACCTGCCAGGGAGAGGATGAACGGTTATGCCGTCCTGACGGAAGCTGAGGAAGATGGTCATGGAGGCACTAAAAAACCGTTGAATAAAGGCTGATAACAGCTAATTGCTAAAACGTGTCTGCTATTTGCCTGCACGAAAGAGAAGACTTTAACTGTGAGTGCTGGTGTTCTGTTATTATGATTTTCACCACCTTTAAATTTTCAGTTCTGCGTGCTTTTCCCTTCCTGCCATAAGCCAAACTAAATGCATAAGAAATCATCTGAATTCCACATGGGACTCTCAGTGACGGCACAAATCTATTCAAAACTTAAAGTGGAGCATATTTCAATGAAAAAAAAAAGCAGTTTAAGGTGGAGGCCACATATACGATGCGCCACATCCATAAGGGCGGAGGATTTCTATTGGACGGCAGGGTATGTATTAACACTCTCTCTCTCTCGCCGCCAGCAGGCCATCCTTGAGTGACCTGGGAGGAGAGACTGCAGTGGACTGGTGCGGATCAAACTCCCCCAGTGCTCCCTGTGCCAGTTCTCTTAATAAAACTTCTATCGCTTCGCTCCTCGAGACAGATTAACCAAGTTTAATTTCACATTTTTCACCTTAAGTCACTCTGCTGAGCTGGTCAAACCACGGGCAGCCGCATTACAAACATTAACCCTCTCGTGCAAAGTTAGCTGAAATCAGAGAAACTGATTAAAAAATGCATGAATAAAAACATTCTTATCCAGTTATATTATTCACCTATTTTATCCCATATTGACTATGAAATTTTAAATGCAGATTATTATTCATCATCGCA